TAGTGAAACTGGTTAGACTTGTAGAATTGTTGACCAAGTACTAGGAGGTGCTGCTAATTGGCAGCTGGAGAAGGAAGCGGGGTGTGGTGCCTGGCAAGGGAACACTCGGACGGACGGGGAAGGCCGGTGCTGCGGGTGATGGTGCTGGCGGCAGGGTCCCGTCCGGCAGGGCTGGGACCTTGAGTCGCAGCGCTGAGCAGAGAGCTCACTGCGCTACAGCCCAGGCTCTCTACGGTGCCTTTGCGAGTGGCTAAGTATTGAATTCAGCCTTCCAGTCTTGGGGAGTGTCTCTAAACACACGGGTCTTGTGCTGGAATTGTGTGAAGCATGCAGATGAACAGTTTCATGTAAGACCGGTGGAGATGAGGCTTTAGCTGGGTGCTCAGGCTGAACAAAACCTATTTTTCAGAGTTATTTGCCTTCCCGTCAGTTTGGTAAAGAAACAGATTATAGGTTTCTGTTCCTTGGCAGTACGTTTCTACACACTGATGTCCACAGGCTTGTTTTCCAAGCGATATAGTGCTCTCCCTGTTAAGCTCAGTAATTGAAAGTCTTTTGTGCTTTCTAGGTTGGCTTTTAAATAGGTCAAAATCAGCAGGAGAGCTTCATAACCAGAGCAATTAGGATTTTAACCCTTTATCCTACACGCCTTATAGACAGTAGAAGTCGGCTAATAGGCTGCTGCGTGCCATGGGCGGCCACTGAAAGCCAGAGCTTTCTGGTTCCCAGCTTTACAACCGAGATCTTCCTGTAGTGGAAAATTACTGAATTATAGTGTGCAAGGAGAGAGTGTCAGCTTGGGTTTGGGCCAGCAAGATGGTGTTGTTGAAGAGATCTTTTTCAGTAGCAGCCGCGTGCTGCTGCCAGGTCAGTGGTTTGGGGCATTGGCTTGGCTCTGACTTAGAAGGAAATTATGCAGCTCTGAAGACCAGTACTCCAAAACATGTGAAGAGAGGTGAGAAGTTTGAAATGTTCACTGACATGCTCTTCATCCACCTGCTTTTCCCATTGAAAAGAAATTGTGGAGGATGCCTGTGTGAGAATTGTTTGATGCTGTTGGTAACTCTTTGCTCTGAAATCATATGTTGTCCTTTGCCAATTTTTTTGTTGTGTGCAGAAGTAGGTAGAAAAAGTAGCATAGGAAAAAAAAAAGCTGATGATGGGAGGTTAATTGTAATTTAAAACAGGATTTGTGTTGTTAATGGAGCTGTTTAACAGAAACAGATTTGTACAAACAACCCTTCCCCCGCCTTTTGCATGTGCGACCTTCCTGTTTACAGTAATCTGCTTCTCCGGGATTACCTTCTCTCTTAACAGGGACTCTAGGCAACACTCATTTTATCAGTAGCTTCCTACCTAATGCAGGAAAGATCCTGTAAATCCAGCCCATTTGCTGGACACTGGGAAGTTAGTTAGTGGCATCGGTTTATTAACTGTGTCTCTGTGTGAAAGGGAAGCCAGCGAGCAATTTTCCATCATTGCTACTTACAGCTTCAGAATATCAGATGAGGCTTTAAAGCAGCAGAGAACTATTATTGCTGCATAATTATTGCCTATATTGATTGGGATGCTGCTGATTTAGGCACAAGCCACTGATTTGCTCTGCAGATCTATCAATAGATGAAATATATACCATGGTGCTTACAAATGCTTGTGCTTGTGTTTGTAAATGTGTGTGGTTGCATCTAGCCAGCAACGTTATGACATTGCCGTGGTGTTTATAGAAGACAAAGTGCCAATTCTAAGCCACTTAATCAGTTTATTGAGCCATTTTAAATATGGTGACTTTAAGGGACTGCTCAAACAGAGTAAAGTTCCTTTGCCCCACAACCCTGAGCCAACAGTAACCATGCTCCAGCTGATCTGCAACAAAATGGTCAAAGCTAAATAGTCATAAGAGCAATGAGGCAAAAAAGAAAGATTTAACTTGCAAGACAGTATGTGGAGGCATGGAGTACAATAACTGGGTGGAGCTGCCTTTGCTCCCACCCTGTCCGCAAATGCTGCTCGATGCATTCCTGGAAGATGCATCGCCCTCCCCTTCTGTCCTTCCCTGTCTCATTAAACTCACAGGAAAGGAAGAGGAGGGAATTCTTTCTTTCTGGAGAGGTCACCTTTGCCAGGTCTACGGAGCAGCCTCCCCGTGCATGCTGCCTCTCCCAGCTCCCCCTAATCTCCTTACCCGAGGCCACACCATGGCAACACGCACCCGGGAGCCTCCGTGTGTCACCCGCGGGGCCGGGTGGGAGCACTGCCAGCAAGGACAGAGGTTTCTTTACTGGTGCGGCTGTGACTCTTTTTTCTTGCCCCAGTGCATCTGCCTGGCATGATGCTCATCTGAAATTTGTCACCTAAGTCTCTAGCAAGAACTCCTCCTGGATATTTGGGCCTTTCCTCCTCTCCCAGCAGGACTTACTGTGTGAGAGGTAGCCCAGAGAACGAAGTTTGAAAGGAGAGGCTGCGACATGCGGCACCGCTATGATCTGGGGATGCACTAAGTGGCTGTGCAGTTGTTTCATGTAGGTGTGCTTGATTTGTCTTCCTCCAAGTGCAGCCTCTGCTTAAGTGGGATTTACAAAATTTCCTTTTCTTTCTTCTTTCTGTGGTAATTATTTTTCTTTCCCTCCTCTTCCTCCTCTTTGTGACCATTCCATACTTTCCTTCTCTGACAAGGAGCTGAGGTGGGAGGTGGCTGCAGGCTCTCAGCCAGCTCGCCTGCATCATGCACCAAAGTACTTTGTTAGGACTGGAATTGCTGAGTGTTTGGGATAGGGACAGAAGCCAAGTGACCTCAGCAGTGCTTTCTTGAGAGGAGAAATTAGAGAGGATTTTGCAGAGATGATATTGAAGTGGTGTATTGTGGTGTGTTTATTTTAGACTTGCCCTACCTTAACTGCAGCAAGTGTTCAATTATACATGGCTGAGGTTTTTGGTTTGCATTGGAGCAGCTGCTGCTGTAACCTGTTCTAACAAAGCGTGCACAGTGCAGCCAACGCGTTTGTACCAGCACTGCTGCTTTGCATTGGAAATCATGGTCTTTGTAATATCCCTCTGATGAAGGGGTTTTGCTGCCTGCACTCAGGTCATTCAGTATATTAAATGGGAACAAAGTTCTCCCTCGCTGTTTAATAAATCTTACCGTACATGAATCTGCTAGAATAGCATCAGCGTTTTGTTTTGTACAAAAGAGCAGTCAGATGAACTCTGCTACTCCCTTTACATGTATCCTTCCTGATACCCAAGTTTTTGTTGTTGAGCAGCCTTAGAAGTACTGAATACATCTTTTCCAAATGTGGGTTGTTTTTTTCTTTTACTTTCTGTTTCCCCATAGAATTGCTCAAGGGTAGGAGGAATTTGATTTTGCTAAGGTTACAAAATACAAGGATTTTTTTTCATGTAAGATACGTGAGGGAAGTATAGAAAAACTATTTTTCAAAGTTAAGGAAGCTGTTAGAGAGCTGTGCTTTTCACTCTTCCTTAAATACACTTTTTAAATATTTTCCATTTGATACTGAGCCTTGATACTGGAAACTGAATAAAAGAGGAAACACTGTGAGCACAAACACAGGTGAGAAAACAGAATTTCAGAGCATTGCTTTTCTCTGCATAATGTGTAGGCAGCTGATGCCTTCCTACTTCCACTTCTGTTTGCTGTGCTCAGTCACACTTGCTGGATGGGCAGCCGTATTCATGGACACACTTCCATGGATCACTGCCCAGGCACAGGGACCAGCATGAGCTTTCATATTGTGACAAAATCTAGACCTGCCAGGTAGGCAGCTCCTTTTCTGCTAAGCTGAGACTCGATGCTCTTCCTCTGTGGTTGTCGTCTGAGGCTTTGAGTTTCAGCTAGAGGAAAAATAAAATGTATGTGCACATAGTGTTTGCTTTTTGAAGTAGAAATGCTAGTTGTGCATAAAGTATGATGAGCCTTTATTGCAGAAGTTTATAGTCCTGGTGTCAGTTCAGAAGAAGGAGGAGCACAGGTGAAACCCCTGTCACCTATAAATGGAGCACATCTTACAGTGCTGTTTGTCTGCAGAACTCCCTACTGCGCACAAATGTCACCTTAAATCAAACTGGGAGAGGTCAGGAATTGTTGGAGTGCATCTTGTGATGCTGCTGTTACAAAATGCTACTCCATCTTGGAGGGAAGAGTATGTCTTGGAGAAGTACTCCAGATTGGGGG